GCCTACAGACTCTGGTAATTTTGCTATGGTATTTGTATTCACTCCCCCCCCCCGCCACCGCTGTAATGAATGAGTGCTAATATCCTCTCATCAAAACTGTCCATAAAGACCTCCATTTGCAAATTTGCAATTATCAGAACATGACCTCCCTGGCTGCCTATTGTTCGATCTTCCATCTAATCTTCAGTGTGTTCACATCTGCAACAAAAGGGTTAGTATTGCTGTTATATTAGGTTTGGGAAAGAGAAAGTGGTACCAGATTGAGAGAGATAACAAGAGAAGGAATAAAATGAAGGGAATAGAAAAGGTGGAATAAGGAGAGCATGGGAAGTGAATGTGATGGAGGTAGCTGCAAGAAAAAAGATGAATGAAAGAACAATGTCAGAAACTGGTTCTTTCTGACTGTAGCAGTTCTCCGGCATCCTTCTGAGGTCTGTTGCCTAAGGTTCTAACTAAAACTGGAAGGGACTAAATCCAGGACATTCTACCTACAACCCCTGTGCTCAGTCACTGAGCTGTGCCTTCCCTCTGAGAAAGAAGAATACGGGAGCTTTTTGGTTGAGGTTTTTAAATATTTAGCCTGTTTCAGACTATAAACTGAATCCCACATTAGCCCTATCTGAAGCAGATCCATTAAAAGAATGGTATGTTTTAGTCATAAATAATTTTAGTTTCCCTCGACTTCGGTGGGTGCACTCATGTTTGGACTAATTTTGGATTTAGTCTTATAAAGAATAAAGGACTGGAGATGGGTAGGGCAACGGATGTAGAGGAGGAAGAGTGGGCAACATTTAAAACAGTGGTTCCCAACCTTTTTTGAGTTGTTACCCCCCCCTTCTATGTTAGCCAAGTAACCTGCGACCCCACCTCCACTATATTTGCATTTAAAAGCATATTTAATGAGGTAACGTCATGTCTTCTCATAAAGTAGGAGCTTCCTTCTCTCCCCCCCCCCCAAAGGGCCTGTTTCTCATAATATGCTAACTTTAATACCCTGCTCTGAAAGGTCAAGGAAGAAATTATTTAACAAGGGTGACAACACATATAAGGCAATCCATGACACACACACTCCAAGAAAACACTCTGTGATCCCCGTGGGAGTCATGACCTACAGGTTGGGAAACAGTGATTTAAAAGAATAAGGAAATATATTGAAATACATCTAAAGATTAAGGTGGTATAGTTTTAATTAATTTATATTCTAAGTGGTTCTCAATAGATCTTCTGAAATTCTCTGTTGTACTTCTCCATGGCTGAAATCCTGGTGCACAGTTATGAGAAACGGTGTAAGTTTTCCATGCAAATTGCCGTAGGTTAAGAAATATCCATAGGCACTGTCTGTTGCATGCCAAGTCTTGTGACTCAGCCTGTAACAGATAAGGCCCGCAGGGATTTCTTAACTAACTGCAATTTGCTTCCAAAAGGTCCACCATTTGCTTAACTGTGCCACATGATTTTAGCCATAAATTTTCATCTGGGTCCTTTGTATATTTAAAATATACATATACTGTATATAATGTAGAAGTGATCTTTTTTAAAAAAACAAAGTTGTGCCATTTCTTTCTAGATCTGCTTAGTCACAAGTCATCCATCTGCATGTTCATTTTGCTGTGCTGTATCCCACTTATGCTTTTAATTTGTCTTTTGCACATAAGATTTCTCAACCTAAAGATCTCTAATCTCTTAATATCTTTATGTTTCCAGAAAAATGTCTTGAATGTCCAGCAATAATGTCTTATGTTATGTACAAGTTCTGCCTTTAATGTGATTGAAATAATTAAGAACTCCAGTTTAATAATAATTATACATAGCCACTCTATACAGACACACTGATTCCATGCTTGATCATGTCTGTAATCAGGAACATTACATCTGTACAAACCCACAAAGATGTAAAATTACTGTGATCCTTTCAATCAACAACAGATTAAACAAGTATAAATCACAACATATTCTAATGACACTTGTGTCAGTTTAACTGGGAACAGTATTGATAGCAAAACCCTGTGCGTGTTTCCTCTCAGAACTTAAGTTTCACTGTGCTAAGTGGGGCATACTCCTAAACAGAGTACACTGGGCTGCAACTAAAAGCTTTCAGCTGAAATTCAAAGCAATCATTGTAATGCAAGTAATATCTGGATTTGTAAGTGGCTCATGACCACAACAGGAGCAGGAACCTCCTTCAGATTCCAGGCTGAGGTGCCCCACCAGCTCTGTCCATGAGCTGCCTCTGCTGGGAAATCATACGGGTGCTCAGAACACTTGACCTATCAAAGAGAGAACCATTTAGCCAAAGGAATGGGAGCCGCTATAGGGAAATCTTCAGAAAGCGTTACTGTTGTTAAGGAATGTTTGCCTTATTTCGTGAAAGTGTTTTCTATGGGCGATGTTCACTGTTTCCAGTGCTGCAGCGCTGCCTTAATTCAAAGATGCATCTGCTATCGTAGGTTTGAAATGGGCAGAAACCTCTTCTGTCGGCACCCGCCCTTGTGCTGTTCTGATCTTAAAGATCATCCAGAGGAATCATCCAGAAGAAGAGCCAAAAAGGGGACTAAGAAGGGGCAGGCTGAGGGAGGACCTAGGTTACACCAAATCCAAATCTCTGCCAGCCCAAGGGACTTAGCTTCTATGCTGGCACAAAGTTTGGCTACGGTGAGGATAGTTTTAATTGATCTCCAGTATCCCTAGATTAGGAGGGGTTTGTACTCAGCCAAGTTTCAGCTGCTGTGCTGTCAGCTCAGCTGGCCCTCAGCCACCATGGTTAGTTGGGATTCCACCCTGAGACTGGCAGTGTGATCTCAGGACACATCCCACTGTCCAGGCTTTCTCTACACCTTCCGAACATTCATTTAGTGCAGCTCTCCCAAAACAGTGTGGTGCAGTCACAGTCTTTCTACATCTGGAATATCAGCCTTGTCAGCTAGACAAGTGAGCTAGTATCCTCCTCCTAAAGAGCTAGTGGCATAAGTAAGAGACATATGACCGCACGCACGCACACATGCACGCGCGCGCACGCACACACACACACACACACACACACACACACACACACACACACACACACACACATATACACACAGATGCTTAAGGATTAGAACTCCTATCATCTCTCACCTTTCTCTGTGCCTGATGGGAGTAGCAGAGGGCCACATGTTCCCCACCCCAACATAAGGAAATGCGTAAAATGATTTGCTTCCTACAAAAATACTTTAGTTCCAGAAATACCATAGTATGATTTTTCTGACTGTGTGACTTGGTTAAGGGAATAGGTGTTTCACCGTACCTGATCTCCACAATGCACAAGTGAAAAATCTTCAATCTAGATTGGTTTCTTCTTAGAAGATACAGGTGATACAGAACATTTCAGAAGATCATGGGCTGTGCAGACAATACATCTGGTTCTTCCTGAATTTAGGAGTGATTTTTTCTGGGAAGCTGCCACCTCATGTGCTACTTCATGCCTCAGGTGCCCTGTAATATCAAAGAGACCATTGAGGTGCCTTAGCCTAGGTGTTCAGTACCCAGTTCAGGTGATCCATATACATGAGTACCTGTGGATACTGGATGCTCATTAAAAGATATCTGAGCACAGAAACCTAGTTAGCCCTACACTCTACAGGCTCCTGCCAAGCACATATCTAACATTATTGAGCGGATCTCCCTCTGCACCTTCTTGAGTTCCTGTACATTAGGGTGTCTTCAGACTTGTGCTGGTTGCATGTTAGGTGGGAAAGTGGTGCCCAGTAGCATACAAGGGCAAGGGTGGCTAGACGCATTCTCAGAAACTCTTTCATATATTCACTACCCATCCACAGACCTTTTATGGTTAGTATATTGTAATCTTTGTCCCCCACTTCTATGTCTGTGGTCATAATCCTGGTGACTTGAACATGGGAAGGTAATGGAGGGTGCAACTGCTAGCTCTATATGTGAATTGATTACCACCAATATTTCTGAGTACAGGCCATCTGGTTGTGCAACAAAGCACTCATCTGGTCACTTAGATGTGCAGCCAGATTTTCTCGTGTCTGTGTGTTTTTGTTTGTTTGTTTTCACCATATGGATAAAGGTATTCAGCTCTAAATTGGTCTATATATTTTAAAAATAACACTTTTTAGGGAGACGAAGTTGTACAGGGCAATGGCCAGACTGGTTGGCCTATTCTGTTGCTGCAGCCTTCGGTCTATTTGCTGATGAGTAACCGCATATATTTTCAGAGTTTGGAAAAGTAACTTTTTTGGATCACATAATTCCAGTCAGTGTGGCCAGTGCCGTGCAGAGTAGTACTTGTATCTATACTGTACAGTCATAGCACTGTGTTACCACATCACCGTGGTCATATGATTCTATGAACCATGGTCTAAATCACTGGTTCTTAACCTTGGGTTACTCAGGAGTTTTGGACTGCAACTCCCAGAAGCCTTCACCACCAGCTGTCCTGACTGGGGTTTCTGGGAGTTGCAGTTCAAAAGCATCCGAGTAACAAAGGTTAAGAACCACTGGTCTAAACCACTGGTTCTTAACCTTTGTTACTCAGATGTTTTTGGACTACAACTCCCAGAAGCCTTCACCATCAGCTCTGCTGGCTTCTGGGAGCTGCAGTTCAAAAACACCTGAGTAACAAAGGTTAAGAACCACTGGTCTAAACAGGTAAATTCTCCAAGCTCTGGCTTTTATGAAATTGCTTCCAAGGGAATGCAGTGGATGGAATCCTATTGGTGTTTGTGTAAAGTTTGTGTTACTTGACGTGGCTAATGGACAAAGTGCCAGGGTACATCTCAGTTGCCCTGTCAAGTAAGTAACTAGGCATGTGACTGAGATGTAGCTTTGACCCCGCATCAATTAGTTTCGGTTAGTCATGGCAAGTTACACATATCTGACATGAGCGCCAACAGGATACTGCCCATCACCGGTGGAACTAGTTCTCCTTCATTGCCTTTTATAACCAATTTGTTGACACTGATTATGCTTTCCTCTTTCCTTCCCGCTCCATCTTGCAGCAAACGTATGTGACAACGAACTTCAGATATGCCAGAATGGGGGAACGTGCGAGAAGAACATACGCTGCCTGTGCCCACCAGCATACACTGGTGTACTGTGCGAGAAGCGGCGATGTGAAATGGATCCAGAAGGTTGCAACTCCGGGCAAGGAGCATTAACATTATCACACCTGATACTTCTATTACCACTGGCTGCTCCATTCGGACTCAGTGGCTTTTTCATATTCTAGGCCACACCGCATTGGAGGCATTGACTTCAACTGTTCTCAAAGGAATGTACTACAGGAAAAGCAAGAAAGGAAGCAATGACAACAGAAGTAGCCAGCAAATGCTACCAGTTCTTTACAAAATAATAAAGGGGGGGAATGTAAAAATCTCCACACATATATAGACTGAAAAAGGCCTAACAGAACTAAGCCATACCTATCCGTTGTGGACAACCCAGCAAGTCAAGACTGTTACTTTCTGGCTCAAGCTTCAGCAAGCAGCTGCCAATACTATCACTATTACTCACAACCTCAGCTGCAAAAGCTTTCACAGGATCGAAAAGGTTTTGGTCGCCGCCCCCTGGACAGGAATACAAAAACAAAACAAAACAAACCACAAAGACCGAAAACCACCAAACCTTGGCTCCTTCAATCTGGTGCGCAACTGTACCTCTTCCCAGTGTGTGGACCAACCAAATAGAGGCATTCTTTGCTGTCAGTGCATTGTGGGTATAAGGAAATCTGTTTCAAAGCTGCCATATTGGCTTGCTTCTGCCCCTCAGTCCCCTTCCAACTGTGCTTTAGTGAACGTTGCTCTGTAAACCCTTGTTGGTTGAACGATTTCTTTGTCTGATGTTAGTAACGCACACGTGTACCAGTCCCTCCTCAATAAATTTCAAGCCAGTCATACCCTTGTATATGTTAGCAGTACTGCACCAAGTCAGTGCAGTGCTCATCTATTGTACAAGAGTGGCTATAGGACAAAAAAGGGAGTGTATTTATCCTTTTGTATTCAAATGAAGTTATTTTTCTTGACTAACGTAAGACGTAGATTTTTTGTATTATTGCCAATTTGTGTTAACAGACAATTTAGTAATGTACGTTAATCTTAATCAGATAAAGGGGGGAAGTTGATTTTTAGTTCATCCTCTTTTTTTCCCTTTTCTTTCTTTTCCTTTGCATTTAATTGTGCAGAGATTTCTCTGTATGGGCAACGTGCTGGCATCAAAGAATATCAGTTTACATATTATAGCAAGTGTAATAAGATTCCACCAAAGGACATTCTAAATGTTTTCTTGTTGCTTTAACACTGGAAGATTTAAGAGAATAAAAATTCCTGCGTAAACTATTTCAGGAATTAGTACTGCAATTTCTTAACAATATTGTAGGAGATGGGTGAAAAAAAAACCGAAGCTTCAGATGGTGCAGATGGAATGAAACATATGTAAATCTTTAGGTTAAACTACCAGAGGCTCTCAAAGTAGATGGACAATGTTGGTGGGAGGCACAAGTAGTACTTAGAAGTGACAAGCCGAGGTCAGATATTTTCAGACCAGCAGGTACTGGTCAAGATCCATTTAATACCTTCAAGTCACACTGCAACCCTATTCTCCAGGATGGTCAACATGTGATCGTTCTAGTTAGGAAAGTTAAGAGTTGGCTGCCCAAGTAACTGCTTCCCATCCCTACTAGATTGCAGATGTGGATCGCACTGAATTCAGTGAGACTTACCTATGACTACATACCTATAAGATTGCATTAGTTAAAAAAAATGTATTATAATATCTACTTGTCTAATTTATTCACTAAGATATATTGGTGAGATCCAACACTACACTAATGAATTTTACTTTTGCAATGAAACTTTCCCCACCTTTCCTTTGTGGCACCCCCACCATTCCTTAAACATCCAGATCAGATTTGAAGGCCACCCGGGGGGGGAGTTGCTCCCTCTCCTTTCACCAAGGAAAGCTGTTCAATCAGTGGAAGAGGTGGACTAGATACTGTGCTGTGTGCTGAAACAACATTTTGAACCATTTCAGAATCTACAACTACTATTTTAATGTCAGCACTTTACTTCTAAAATCAGAAGCTGACTTTCAAAATCAAAATTTGCTATACAGTTCTCATATTCCACTGCTTACTGGTCTGAACAAATGAAGTTAATGTAAAATATGTCTATGTGTTTTATTAAACCATCTATGAGAAAGTGTTGTAATAACTGCTAATGGGCTTAATGCCCTATTCAGAGCAGAAAGACAACCACATAAATATTTTCTTGCTCCAGTGGTCCCTGTCACCGAGCCCATCATGCAAGCAGTGTGAGACTGGCCATGCAAAGGGAAACCTGTAAAAGTCAGGGGAAAGTTTCTGCATTTTTTTCTTCCATAGTCACATAATAGAACAGGATACTGGTCCCTGTGCCCACTATCAGATACTGTGAATTGCTTTTCATTTGCTCTTGCAGAGACATTTCCAGAATGGCTAATAAGCATAAATTGCAGTACAAACAATTGTTAATGAATCAAATAAGTGCTCTCCTCTTAAAAGATCAGAACTTTTTAAAAGGGGTCTTTAACTGGTGCCAAAAGGTAACCAAGAAGTTATTGGGAAAAGCCCTGGGGGTGAACTTCCCAAATGCAGGGTGCCACAATCATGAAGGCCTCGTCTCTGCTTACTACTCACCTCGCAGCAGATATTAAAGGTGCTGGCAGGAGAACAGAGGCTGGTGCCTTTAACAGAAGCTTAGGACATGATTTATTGTTGGGTATCTAAAACTGCCAGCCATTGATAGCTCCTGGATGCCAGCTCTCCAATACTGCCAAAGACGTGAGTGATATCTGTTACATACTGATGTGGCATGCCAATTATGAGATATCCAGTATGTCAACTGCTATTGCACAACCTCTGGATGTCAAGTGCTGATGTTAAATATCAAGAGTCTGTCAAATATTTGCACAGGTAACTAGCACTCACTGTCTACATTCTCAGAAGGTTATTTTAAAGCAAGCTTTGCATAGTCAAATGTATTTATGCACACAGTTACCCAAGATAGATCCAGGTAGCTTCTGTAATTAACAGTTTTGTGCCGTGATTGTGCTGATTGTCAGTGCTAGAGATCAACAAACAAAGGCTTCATATGGCCCTTTCTATTGTAGATACTTTAAAGCAGAGCTTGGCAAGATATTCTTTTTTACTCTAGTTCTCAGAATTGTTGGTTCTGGTGACTGTAACCCCCACAATTAACTTTGCCAAGCTCTTTTCAACATTCACTTGTACTGTGTTAATGTTTCACTTTAACTATGACCTCTTTGTCTCCTTATGGTTTGATGAAACTGGCCTTGTTTTGCAGAGCTAGTGGAAGAAAGCCTCAATAATTTTCCAGGTACGACAGATTGTGGCCGGCACAACACTAGTAGCCACAGTCTGTTTGGCAAAAGTTTATTTGAAGACCAGGCAAAATGAGAAGATGAAAGCATAAGAAGCTTATAAACTTTATTTCTTAAACCTCTTTTTAATACATTTTGCAGCAATGATTTTTTAATTTAGTGAATGCCTAATCCATAAGAGATGGCATTCCTAAATTAGCAAAAGAGAACATGATTTGAACCAACCGGCAAATGGCAGTTAGTGGATTGTTGATAATCATCCGCAGGGTCACTACATTCTGTGAAAGACCTTCCACAATCTGGTTTGTAGAAGTTATGAAAAATGCCCAATATATTTGACTATAGAAAGGGCCTGAATCCTCTTGAGCAAATGGAGCACAACTGTTCTGTGGCTATGAGTGCCATTCAGTCTCTGGCTTACCTTTGTACAAGCCAGGTATGCCCGTCTCCCCGGACCTGCCATTCGGAGCAACAGGACTTCTGCTTGCACAACAGTTAATAGAGATTTCCTTTTGCAAATGGGTGGGAGTGCAACCATGCATGCAAGGGAGTGTTACACACACAATAAAGACCGGATGGTAGCCATTGGAATGTTGCCTGTCTGTGCAAAGTTGCTTTCCAGGTTCATATCTCTGAATGAGAAACATTATCACCTGGCAGTTGAAAATAGGAGAGAGAAACTATCAAATTAGAGAGTTTGGTAGCATGGTTACATTTATGAAGGAGGGTAAAACAACTTGTCTCACATATGTACATTATATAGCTGAACTTTTAAAAATGCATTTATTTTTTCTTCTTTTCTTTTTAATTTCTTAAATGTGATCAGAAGCTAGAAGGGCTTCTGTGTAGAATGTTCCATGGTGACCATGGTGCTGCCAACTTTAGGAAAATTTGAATTTTTCCTTGGTGCTCTTTCTTTGTCAATTTGTATGAAAGCATAGGTTGCCATATTCTATTGGCCTGGTGCTGGACTCCAAGGAGAACAAACCTATCCATTCTAAAGGAAATCAATCCTGAGTGCTCACTGGAAGGACAGATCCTGAAGCAGAGGCTCCAATACTTTGGCCATCTTATGAGAAGAGAAAACTCCTTGGAAAAGACCCTGATGGGAAAGTTTGAGGGCAAGAAGAGAAGGGGACAACAGAGGACGAGATGGTTGGACAGTGTCATCGAAGCTACCAACATGAATTTGATCCAACTCCGGGAGGCAGTGGAAGACAGGAGGGTCTGGCGTGCTCTGGTCCATGGGGTCACAAAAAGTCGGACACGACTAAACCACTAAACAACAACAAAAGTGCTGGTTAGAAAGTTGCTTCAAAGTCTCCATTGGGATACCATGCACTGCTTCAATGCTAGGGTCTATCCCACGACAAGTCTTCTGTGCATGAGTCAAATATAGTCATGCTGAAAATAAAGGCATTGGAAAGCTTTTGGGTTGGTGGTAATCTAGTCTGGGGAAAAAGCCAAGCATAATTACGCATGTCACATATCTGTGGTACAGTCTGACACTGAATTGTTTGATTGATTGGGATATGAATTGGTCTAATCACATCCAGAGAGGATGATATTATGTGCCACAAATCGCTTCCAATTTATGACAACCCTATGAATGAGTGCCATCCAAAATGTCCTGTTCTTAGCTGCTCTGCTCAGCTCTTGTAAACCCAAGCTGTGGATAACTTTAGAGAATCCCATATTTGGTCTTCCTTTTCCCCCTGCTGCTTTTCACCTTTCTCAGCATTATTTTCTTTTCCAGAGAATCTTGCCTTCTCATGATGTGCCCAAAGTAGGAAAACCTCACATCCAGCAAGGATGCAAGTTGAACCCATTAGACAAAGAGATGCAGAGGTAAAATGTACCACCCTCTGACAACTTTGTAAGACTTCTAAAGACAGTTTTACCTCACTTTCCCAGCACCATTCTTTTCTATATAATTTCTCACAAAGTTATACTTGGGGAAGACTTACTTACTAATTTGTCAGATTATGGAAGGCTACTAAAACAAATTTAGGGAACTGTTATAGTAAAGCAATCTGCATTTATTATGAAAATGCAGCTATGTGCAAGGAACAATTTTCAAGTGTGCAATTGATTGGGAAAGTCTAAGAGAAGCTTTTCCCCCCTAAATTGATTGTAAAATATCCAGGGCTCCACAGTAATGAACTGGCTGCACACCCTGTTATAACTGTCCTGCATTGGAAGTCCCTTTGAATAGAAATATTTATATAAATGTCAAATGTTGATCTTTCTAAGACAGTGTATGAACAGCCCCTACTGCATGCACAACATCACAGCTGCGTGTTTTCATTTTTAATAAAGCTGGAGTTAGTATTTAGGGAAAGTGTCAAAATATATAGCGGCATGTACAGGGAAAATGCTGCTCCAGCAAATAAAGTTTGTTTTAAAGTAATGCCCAAGGTGTAATAAATTCTTCTTTTTGCCTCTGATTAGCCCAATTACTGCCTGTGACAGTAAGAAACAGAGCAAAATGTAGAGGCAAAAACACCAACTGCAGCAATGTTTCAAAGACAAGAAAGAATCAAAAGATGGCAACGTAGGGTGAATTTGCTTAGGAGCATACATTCTATCACACATAATGCAAATATTTTACCTATATAATAGCCTTCAATGGAAAACCATTAATCAGCACAGACAGAAAACCCAGGGGAAACCAGTTATTTTGTTCTCTCCAGGCTTTGTAGACTTTGAATCAGGGACTCGGTAGTCTTTGAACCTTGTGCGATAGACTTGCCCCTATCTCAAGAGAATAATAATTTGGCTGGCAAATACAATTTAGGGACAATCATCAGGGGAGAAGCCTGCCTTATTGGTTTTGTTTCTCAGAAAGCAGATATAAAGAATGACAGCAGCAGCAAACGATGACATTTGTAGAGTTCCTTCACAGCGGCGCAGCTGATGGACTGCTTGTTATGCGAACCACCAGGTTCTTTGGGCATAG